TGGTGACAAGTGACGTCAGAGAAGGGTTCTGCATCCCAGTGCTATCGACATGGCAGCAGTAACACGAATCAGCACTAAACTTAAATATAAGCCCAACATATTCCAAAAACAGCTGCTGTAAGATGTATTAGGGCAGTTACACTTATTATTTTTCATAACAAATGAGCATTACATTTCCAGCAGGCTCTCTATGTGCTGTCAGATACACTTTATAGAAACTATATAATTTGTATTGTATGTTGATTGTTAGTAACACTTTTCATATAAAAATATGAGTGAGTGGTGAACAAGTAATAAGACACATTTAAAAGATTGCACAAGCAAATTGGAATTAATGGCAAAATATCTCAGGGAATAAGATTCCCCGAGACTTAGAAAGGTAGTTCTATAATAAATAAGCACTGGTGGGATGTTTGCTGAAAACCCCTATACCCGAGTATCATACTCTTTTAGTCCTGACAGAGAGATTGGTCTCCGTGGGGGTTCCGTTCTTTTTAGATGTCATAAAAGATTTTTCTTCCCAAAGCCCTTCCCAACTGAGATGGAGTTTATGTAAGAACTGTGGCTTAGATGACCTTCATGCCAAAGGAAGTCGGGCATGAAGTTGGGCAGTAGCTCTAGCTCAGCCACTACATGGCTCCGTGACCTTGACCAAAGTGGGTTCCCCTTTGGGTGGGGGGAGGGGGTGAGCTCATGTCTCCAACTATAAAATGCAAAGGTTGAGCTGATGAACTGTTGTGGGAATGTTGGGCACGTTCAGTCCTCCATTCCATAAGGGTTCGCTGAACACCTACTGTGTGCCTGGCCCAAGTCTGTCACCAGGGGTTCATTGATGAGCAAATCAGACCGGGGTCTTTGCCCCCTGGGGATTAGATTTTAATAGGGAAGAGATGTTTCTTAATCAAATAACCACACAAATAAATGTGTCCTCCCAGCCTTGGTAAGTGCTGTGAGGGGTTGGAGGAGCACATGGGGCTAGAGGGGCTCATAATAAGGAGATTTATTTCCCCCAGGAGAGAGATCCAAAGGGGCCCACGATGGAGGGGGCAGGTCTTTGAAGGCACAGGAGGTGCTTCTTTCTAAGCCCAGCACAGCTCCTTGGCCAGCCACCTTATCTCTGCTTCTCCATCTCCTAGCCTCTAAAAATGGGACTGACATCAGGAACGGCTCACGGTGTTGTAAGGTTTCAGAAAGATGACATGTTTCAAAGCACCCAACACCAGGCAAATTACATTTTGTTTCATTTCTAAGAATAGCTTTGGAAGCAGAGACGTGCTTCCAAAGACCTATGAAGACATGAGTCTTAGACTGTGTAGAAAGTGAAAACAGCTTTGAGGCGCCCCTTTATAAGGAAGTTTGAGTTCACATTCCGCCCTGGAAGGCGCCTGGCTTCCCTTCACCATGGAGCCATGTTAGAGTCACTTGACTCTGAAAGACCAGGAAGGACCTTGTTGCCTGAGTAAGTGTCAGAGACCCGAGCTCCGGGTGCTGGAGAAGGTTAGACATCCGGGCCTGCTCCCTTGCCATTTATATGTGAGGAAGGGAGGCTGATCATGAACAACAAAACTGGAATGAGGAGGCAGCTCCCGACCCCACAGTCCTGTGCTTCTCTGTATTGTCTCTCTATGTTCCATTTGGAAACTATGGATAATTTCTGACGTGACTGGGCTACTTTCGAGGGCTTAGGCCATTCCTTCTCAAGAGAAAGCAAGCTTAGCACGCCCTCGTAACTCCTCCAGGCCTGAGGATTACTCCTGTAATCTTACAAAAGCAAACAGGAGGACAGAAATAACCCATCAATTGTTTAAAATTAAGATGGCCAACAATAATAAGTAACTACCACAATAGCTTGAGGTCAGGGTCTCAATGTATTGGAGGCCATTCAAGAATTTGAAACTTTTCTCTAAGTTAATTTTTCACATCTTGTTTGGATCCTCAGAGCTCTCACTTCCAAAAGCAAGGCCATCGTTGCACATGTTATCCTTGCCAAAGTGCCGGGGCGTACAGGAAAGTGAGGTCTTCTCTTCATGGATGGGAAATGAGGACTGCTCCCCTCTCCCCCCAAGACAATCTGTATTTCAAAGGGTTATAGCCTACTGAGATTTTGGATATATCTCCTCTCTTTCATGCTCTATTTGTTGTATTAATGGTTGCAAACAGCAATAAACATGTGTTGGTTAATTTTTTTTTTTAAAGATTTTATTTATTTGACAGAGAGATCACAAGCAGAGAGAGAGAGAGAGAGGAGGAAGCAGGCTCCCTGCCTAGCGGAGAGCCCGATGTGGGACTTGATCCCAGAACCCTGAGATCAGGACCCGAGCTGAAGGCAGAGGCTTAACCCACTGAGCCACCCAGGCAGCCCTGTGTTGGTTAATTTAAGCAGAAGAAGAATTTATTGGAAGGATATGGGCTGATTCAGAGCATAGGCAGGAAGCCTGGGGAACCAACATGAACAGGAAACAGGGGAGACCAGGCTTAGCTCAGGATACCACCCCTGGAATCTCAACACCTGTGTAGCCACCTCAGAAGATCTCAGAGGACCCCAGGATCTTTGTGCAACCCTCAAAATTCATGGCCCTGCTTGGGAGCATCTGCTGGCCATACTAACTGCGCTTTGATCTTATGACTGCGTGCCCAGTCAGGCGCCCACACGTTAGCTATCAAGAGGAGGGGAGAAGGAGGGCCTACCCCCTTTCTTCTGATGTGCCCCTCCCACCTATTTTGAGATTCCTCCCAAACAGGAAGGTGTCAGGATGCTGAGCAGAGAAAAATACCAGACTCTCCATTACATAAACTCTGATTAAGCTTAATCACATCATCCATTAACTGGTTGGCCAAAGACGGGCTACCAATGTGAATTTGTTTTGTCCACAGCTCATGTCACACAACAGTCATCCATCTCATGTGCACCTTCATCGTTGTCCTCATCCCCATTGTCCTCATTCCCTTGTCCTCCATGGATGGCCTGCTCACTCCCCCACATCCTGGGCTGCCATTTCCCTTCTTCTCTTTGCCCCTCAAGTGTTCCTTCCTCCTTCTCCTCTCCCTTCCCAGTCTTCGACCCTACTTCTGTTTCAGTGCAAAATGGAAGCAATCACAAAGGAACCTCTGCTTTGTTTCTAACACCCGTCTACTCACATGTCAGTGCCGTTGGCTCCAGTTTCTCACCTTGTGCTGGCTGAGGCCAGCTCCTCCATTTGTCCACCAGGCCATCCAGCCATTGTTCCCTGTCATGTCATTAGTTGTTCCCTCTGTGATACATCCTTCCCATGCTCGTGCAAATATGCTACGATCATTTCCATCTTAAAAAAACAAAAACCAGTTGCCTTGAGCCCACTCCCCACCCCTGGCTGTCATCCTATTTCTGTACTCCTCTTTACAGAAAAACTCCTCCAAATAGTTGAGTGTACTCACTGTTTCCATTTATTCTGCTCCTCCATCTCTTAAGCCAATTCCAAGCTTCCATCCCTATCACGCCACTTAACACAGTTCTTAATGAGATCACCGGTGACCTCCAGGTGGCTAATTACAGTGGCCAGTCCTAATTCTTCATGTTATTTTGACCTGTCTGCCGCATTTGACAAAACTGATTACTCCTTCCTTGGAACATGACTGCTGTGGCCACTTAGATACCATCTCTCTTGGTTTTCTCCTACCTCCCTTGTCATGCTTTCTCTTCTCCTCCTCACCCATAACCCCTAAGTGTGAGACCTCTTCTCTATCTACGCTCATTCTCTAATGATCATATCCAGTCCCTCCCAAATGTATATCTCCAGCCCAGACCCTCCTTTAAGACTTAAACATCCAGCTGTTCAACACCTCTTCTTAAGGATCCAGTAGCCATTTGGATTTTTTCCTGCTGAACCTTCCATACCCATGGTCTTTCCCGTCTCAATGAAGGACAACTCTTCCCTTCCAGTTGTTGAAACTAAAATCATTGCAGCTGTCCTTGATGCCTCTTTTTCCCTAATACCCCTCACCCGATCTGTGAGCAAATCTGTTGGCATAACCTTGGAAACACATCCAGAACATGACCTCTTCTCACTATTTAAGTGTGGTCTGAGCTGCCTCCTGGGTTACTGTGATAGCTTCCCAACCAGGCTCCCTGCATCCCCCCGACCACGCACTCTACAGACCATTCACATCACAGCCATTGTGAGGCTTCACATGTGAAAGTCAGGTCACACCACTCCTCTACTCAGAGCTCTGCAGGAATTTCATCTCAGAGTCAAACCAAGGTCCTTGTGACAGCCCCAAAGTGCCCCATATGATCTGTCTGTCCCAATTCCCTTTGCCTCTCTGAGCTCATTTCCTCCCACGCTCCCCTTTGTTCACTCCTCTTAGCCATTCTGGCATTCTTGCCAGTCCTTGAATGTGCCAGGCACAACTTTCCCTTTACTAGTTCCCAGGTGTCTGTGCATCTTGCTCCTTCTCTTCCATCAGGTTTCTACTCAGAGGTCTCCTCATCAGTGAGGCTTCCCCAACCATCCTATTTAAAATTACAACCCACTCTCCCTCCAAATCTGGCATTCTCTACCCTTCCTACCCTTTGTGAGTTTTCTCTGTAGATCTTATCACAGTCTGACCTGTATGGTTGCTGCTTGGTGTATGTGTTTTCTGTCTCCTGGAGCTGTAAGAAGGCAAGAGCTCTGTTTTGTTCACTGTTCTCTCTTCTAGCAAATGGAATAGTTGTGATTGGCAGGTAGTCGGTACTCAAAAACATATGAACGAATACATGGCCAGATTCTGTGTCTAGGCTATTAAACGTCTTACAATTTTCTGAGATTGATGGGAGCCCCAGAAGAGCCTAGTGAGTTAGGCTGTTGGATGAGGAAGCTAACTGCTTGCACAAAGATGCATGGCTGGTTAATGAGGTTGCTGGAACGTATGGTTCTGACCCCAATGGAGTTTCTGTCCCCAACCCCCAGCTACCCTCTGATGTCTCATATTATGTTAGTGAAAGCTTCAGAGCACTCATTGCTGCTTATTTTTCCTTACAGCATTGATGGGAAAACCCCGTATCTAGCTTTGGGGGCTGTGAAGAATATCTCCCTAAACATCTCCATCTCAAACCTCGGGGATGATGCCTATGATGCCAACCTGTCCTTCAACGTTTCCCGGGAGCTCTTCTTCATCAACATGTGGCAGAAGGTAAGGAAGGCACCCCTGAAAGAGAGTCTTTGTTCCATCTGGAGCATTTTCTGGCTTTCATCATAGCTTGCAATGTGTAGTGATTCTGCAAACTTTTTCACTCTGTGGGGTGTCATTCAGAACTACGAGAATTCTTTCCGCCTGAACTTAGAAGCTGCATTGGAGCAATATCCATCTCTCACGCTATCTCCCTTCCTTGCTGTCTTATGGAGCCTTCTCCCTACCATTTTATGTCTGACCCCTTCTCCGGACACTCATGTGTTCTAGAGAATTCCAGTTTCATGTCAGTGGTTGTGAAAAACAAGATAAGGAATGAGGACAGGTCGCTGCTTACTATGCTTGTTATCATCCCTGGTGCACTTGAGGCCTTCCATTAGGGGGTTGCTTTGACATGTTTGCTTATGATATATTTGAGTGAATTGAAATGAAATTATTTTCATGAACTGAGTGAGTTTTTCAGCGTGAAGTCGTGGATGTGAATAAATTAACTAGAATGACTCGGAAAGGAAAAAGGAGTTGGTATTCTCTCCTGTCCCATAATTCACCTCAATGAACCACCTATAGGAAGAAAAAAAGAACGAGTCTCCAGCAGGCAACAGGAATGAGTGGGCTCAGACAGACCTCACCCTCCCTGGTGGTTGCTCTGAGTTTTGACGGCAGTTTTAAAAGCAATTCTTGGAGGTTTTCAGCGTGTTTACAACATGGAACTGCAGCGCCTTGATGTCTGTGTTAAATGGAACCAAAATCGCTTTCTGAGGAACAGCTCCTCCCTGCCCATAGATGAGCACTGGGAAAAGCTTCAAGCCAGTGGGCAAACTTCCATTCAGACACAGGTCCTGGCAGTTCAACAGTTTTGATAGGATTACACCAACCTTGCCCAGCTTAAGGGGGCCCTGAAGCTAGAGAGTGACCTGGAATGCTCACACTCCAAAAACTTCACAAGAGGTTATCTCAGACTCTGCTGCTTAATACCTTTTAGGAGCACTAGGGTTGGGGAGGCGACAAAAGCGATCAAGAAGGACTATGGGAAAGGCATGCTTCCCATCTTCTACACCCTAAAAATGATCCCGGTTTAAGCCCAGTCAAGAGAGAACCAAGTATCTATAGGGTTCTAGTATCTCTGGCTCCACATAGAGTGTCTTCTACAGCATGTCCTGTGCCCTGATGCCATCTTCCTGTAGGCGGTGGTGGGAGAGGGGCTCACTCAAGGACAGATCTGTAAAACTCATCTCTGTGGTAACCGAAAGGAGGCAGTTGGTGACTGTGTCATTATGTGGCAGGTTCCTCTCGCTTTAGGACCTACGGGAGAAATTACTCTCTGGTCTCAGAATTAGGAATAGTTGTGCTTTTCCCGAGTATTTTGGCTTATTTTTACCTGTAGACAGTCATCCCTGTGACTAGGCTTTGTTATCTCTGTTGTCTGCTAGAAAGTTCTGAGCTGGCCCCGCTCTGTCGGTATATAGGATTTGGTGGTAGTATTTCACAAACTGTGTAGCTTCCTAGATCCTATTCTCTTTCCCTTCATCGTAGTTTTCTTTTTAGCTTGGAGGCTGCATAATATTCTGTCATAAAGTATACTATGGATTACCCTCAAATTCCTGTTATGTAGATATTTCATTCCAGTTTTTTCCTCTTTAATACTGTGATGAATGAGAGTGCCTTGGTGGCTTAGTCAGTTAAGATCCAACTTTTGGCTTGAGCTCAGGTCATGATCTCAGGGTCGTGGGATCAAGCCCCATGTCAGGCTCCCCACTCAGCTGGGAGTCTGCTTGTCTCCCTCTCCTTCTACCCTTTCCTCTCCTCACACTCTCTCTCTTGCTCTGTCTCTCTTAAATAAATCTAAAAAAAAAAAAATACTGTGATGAATGTCTTTCACAGAGATTGCTATGAACAAATTATTTTTAGTCTTGTAACTCTTTGGGGAAAGCAACATAGTGTTTGTTGACTACCTGCTATATACCAGGGGTCTTACATACATTTCCCATGCCCTCCTGCATTCAATCTGGGTGCATCTGCCATATTGGTGGAATGCTGCCGGGGAGAAGTAGGGGAAGTAGGATGAGGCAGGGATGGCTAAAGGTGTGCCATCATAAAATGTAACTTTGGTGTGATTAATATAGGGTGTGAAGAGATGGAAATATGCCCAAGAGCATAAATCACTCAGCAGAATTTTCTCCTCTTAAAGTGATAGGAGAGCATTATTGCCACCCCTGTATCATGTTGAGCACCTCGAGGGGTAGTAGGTAGCCCCCAGGCATTCTGGATGAGGGGTCTAGTCAGGTGAGGACAGTGCACCTGAGAAGCCCACAGATTAGTCATCAGCTATCATAGCTGATCATTTTCATCTTATTTACACTGAATCCCAACAACTTTGGGACAGGGAGCCCCAGTTTCAATTTGTCAGAAAGATGACAAGGTATCAGGGGCTCCTCAGGATGCGGGAAGCATTCGTGTAAGAAAGGTTAACAGGGCACAGGGACATCACATAGCTGCCCCTTGGGCAGGGCCAACTAGAAAAACAGTCATGAAGACCATCAGTATGGCAAGAGAAGGGAAAGAAACAAAAAATCCTCTCCTGTGTTCACAACCACAACTCTAAATGGAGATGTAAATGGCATCGCTCAGCCCAGAGCAGTATTCGCACAGCACCCAGATGAGTGGTAAAGAGGAACCAGGAGAGCCCACTCACCCTGCGTAGACCTAATATAACCAACATGGACCGTACAGAAACATTCTAACACATAAACTAAGAAAAGTGCAACTCAGGATACAGAAGGAAAGCATACCTTTTAGAAAGATTATTAATAGAAAACAAAAGTAAATTTTATTCTAGCATTCACTTTTCTTGATTAAATTCAAGGGGAAAATGAGCACAGTGAAAGATCAGATAGAATGATAAGCTGGGATGAAAAGAGAATGAACTTAGAGGCAAACAAAAGTAAAGATTGCAGATAAGATAAGGAAATGTAAGAAAACCAGGAAAGCAATGGCGGAATTAAAATGTGTTATAATCAGGAAAGAGCAGAATTAGCAGTAGAAAAAATTGTTTCATTGTTACACAGGACATATTTGAGACAGTCTCTGAGAATTCAGAAAAAAAGAACAAAACAATGAAGAATGACTGTGAGAATTATAGAGGTGGAAGGTGGAGACCAGAGAATCAGCAAAGGGAAGTGGCTCCATAATTGCTGGAATAGAAGACATGAGTAGACAGCAAGGAAGGATCGCCATTTTCTTGAGTGAGCTCCGCAAACACCCTGCAACAACACTGAGAGCCCTTGACTGTCAACACAGAGCTTCATGAGATTTTGAATTTGAAAAATATGAAAGTGATGGTACTGATACCTAACAGAAAACAAAGAAACCAGTGTTCCATAGGCTTCTTTTCTGTAACAGAATTAAAAAGTCAGAATAGTTTCTCTTATGAATTAAGAATTCTATACCCAGCCAGCTTGCCCTCAATTGTGAAGACAGAATAAAGATGTCCGTGAATATATGAGAATTTATAAAGTCTGTTAACTCTCCTGGTTTGGATTTCCCCAAAAGCAGACCCCAACACAGTGATGTAGGTATAGGGAATTTCTTTGGGGGAATGATCTCTGGAGGCACTTTGTGAGAATGATGAGTTTAGACGAGGAAGGGAGGAAAGACGGGGAAGTGTGCACTGATAATCCGTGAGGAACTCGGGCTCCATCCCACTGCAGATCCTCAGACAGGCTCTCTGGAACACCCTTCAGAATCACTCCCAGGGGTAAGGAGGCTGCTAGGGGATTTCTCCACCAACTCTTACCACTCATCTACAGGGAAGCCCTCTAAAGGCATCAACTCTCTGGCACTTCCAGCCTTCTCTGGCTATGGGCCACACTCCAGCAAACAACTCCAGCAGTGCAAAGTTGGAAGCCTTTGACCTGGAGGGTGCTGGCTTCAGGTGACCACTGCTCTGGTTGGTTCTAGGGAATGTGAGCAGGGCAGCATCTGCTTCAATAGCTGTTAAAGCTTTAATAAGCATGAAACTGTTCCTGAGAAAAAGGACACTTAGAGATAAAGCACTCAAGAATACGTTGTGGAATAAAATGTTAAGGCCAAATAAACATAGACGTAAGCAAAAACAAATTTCAAAAGCATTTAAAATAGTAAGCAAATATAAGAAAAATTATTGCCACAGTAAATACAAAACTTAAAAACTTAATAAAAAATAAGCTTATGATATCAGTTATACCATAAAATTTTGAGAAGAAACTTAATCTCGTCACTCTTCCTGCCTCACATTCTTCAGAATGGAGTTCAGACTCCTCAGCTGTTCCCTGAGAGGCCATTCTGAGGCCCAGCTTCCTGCCCTCCCTCTTCCCCAGCCTCATTGCTCAACATCCCCCGCATTCTTACTTGAATCCACTTATAATCCAGTCCTGGGAGCCCCTCCATCCCTGTTTTCTTTAATCAACTGCTCTGCCCTCAGATCTCACCTCAGATGCCTCACCTGGCTCCCCCGGGGGTGTGGGTGGGAGGGCGGGGGGCTCTCCCTCTGTCCCAAGCTATAAGGCAGCTCAGGCCCTAGACCTCCGAGGTCTCCCGTCTTCTGTGTCATCACACAGTTTGTGATGTATCTGTTTCTGAGACTGAAGAGTCACCCCGAAGATGGACTTTTCTGTCCTCTCGAACACGAAGCTGCTTTCACAGATTGGCTCTTTCCTATAAGGGAAGATGGCTTATAAAAAATGCGGGGTGCATATGGACAGCCATCTGCTGGCTTTCCTCTCGCCTCCGTAAGCTAACTCAAGAACACTCTATAAAACAGGACTTCATGCATTGGTGGCCACTGGCTGCTTGGCAGGCAGGCTGGCTGGGGTACAGCCTACAGTGGTCATAGAGTGGCCTCCCGCGGAGCAGTGTGCAGGATCCCTGAGGGGCGGGGGAGCGGCACAGTGGAAAGGGAGAACAAGGAAGAATGGAGAAAATGCACGAGAGCACATCCGTATCCCCCAACCCCGCGGTCACGTTCA